CACACACACATCCTTTATGGTCTGGCATGAGAGAATGCTTGGGTTCAATCCCCAGCACTTCATAAACCACTGTGACTGACAAGAGAATTTGATGTGTCAAATTTCTTGTCTGATTTTGAGACAGGGTCTCACTATGTAGCTCTGGTGGTTCTGGAACTCACTGTGTAGACCGGGCTTGCTTCAAGTTTGCCCGTCCCTGTTTCCCGAGTGCTGGGATTAAAGGCATGCACCACTAAATCCAGTTTAGAAGCATCAAGGTTCCAGGCAGTGGTGGCACACGCCTTTAATCCCAGCACTTGGGAGGCAGAGGCAGGCGGATTTCTGAGTTCGAGGCCAGCCTGGTCTACAGAGTGAGTTCCAGGACAGCCAGGGCTACACAGAGAAACCTTGTCTCGAACCCTCCTCCCCTAACAAAAAAGCATCAAGGATTTTTTTTTCTAAAGCATTTTGCAAAGTGGCAGGTTTTCTCAAAATCCACTTTTCTCAAGTGTCAAGTTTCTGATGTGTCCGGGTGTTTCCAGATACCTTGACCCTGTCAGTATGAGTACCTGGGATTTTTTTTTCTTAAGCATTTTGCAAAGTGGCTGGTTTTCTCAAAATCTCTCTCTCTCTGTCTCTCTTCTTTTGAGACAGGGTGTTTTTCTTTCTGTTTCTGTGACAAAGGCTCTGACCAAAGGAAGGAAAGGGTTTATCTCCCCTTGAAGGTTACAGTCCATCACCGAGGGAAGTCAGGGCAGGGACCTTGGAAGAATGAAGAATGCTATTTTCTAGCCCATTCGAGGACTCATGACTAGTGTCCTAGTCAGGGCTTCTATTGCTATGATAAAACACCATGACCAACAGCAACTTGGGGAGGAAAGGGTTAATTCAGCTTCTACTGTCATATCATAGCCCATCAATCATAGCCCATCAACCATAGCCCATCAATGGAGGAAGTCAGGACAGGTACCTGGAAGCAGGAGCTCTTGCAGAGACCATGGAAGGAAGCTGCTCACTGGCTTGCTTCCTTTGGCTCTCTCAGCCTGCTTTCTAATAGAACACAGGACCACCAGCCTAGGGATGGCCCCACCCATAGTGGGCTGGGCCCCGCCCCGCCCCCATCAATCACCAATTAACAAAATGCTTTTCAGGCTTGCCTGCTGCCTGATCTTATGGGAGCATCCTCTCAGTTGAGGGTCCCTCCTTCTCAGATGATTCTAGGTTGTATCAAGTAGGCATAAAATGAGCCAACACACTTAGCTACCTCCTGCATCAGTGAACACTCAAGATAATCCCCCACAGACAGGGCAACTGACTGGCTTGATCTAAGCAGTGCCTCAGTCCCGATCCCTCCCACTTCAGGTTTTCCTAGGAAATTGTCAAATTGACAGTTAAAGCTAACTAGGTAACAAGGATATGAGCTTTAGCCAGCAGGTTGGTCTTGAACTTGCTGCCCTGACCGCTGATCCTCCTGAGTACCAAGACAAGATTAGAAGCGTGTATTGCCATGCCTAGAGCATGCTGTCTCTCTTTTCCCCTCCCATTCCCTCCCCTACTCTCCATCCATTCTCCTCCAACCCCCAACACACACACCCTTCTTACTTGAGATAGAGTCACTGTGTGGCCCAGGCTGGGCTCGAACTCATGATCCTTCTGTCTCTGTCTCCTGGGTGTCTAGATTCCAAGTGTGAGTCATAAAACAACTTGCTTCCTGTTTTCCCGTAGGGTCTTCCTTCCCCACACTGTTGTCTTGGCTGCATGCATCTCTCTCTCTCTCCCTCTCCCTCTCCCTCTCTCTCTCTCTCTCTCTCCTTTTTAAATATTTATTTATTTATTTATTTATTTATTTATTAGTTGTTAGGGGTTTTTTTTGAGACAGGATTGCTTTGTGTAGCCTTGGCTGCCCTGGAACTCACTCCAGGAACTCACAGAGATCCAACTGCCTCTGCCTCTGCCTCTGCCTCTGCCTGAGTGCGTTGGCCACCACTGCCCTGCATGGTGTGTATTTCTTCCTCGCTGCTTCTCACAGGGATTTATTTAGGGGCCTTAAAAGCTCCCTAAATGTTTGGGCTCAGGAGGATATCAGGATATCTCACCCAAACCTGAAAAGATAGTCTCTGAGAGAGAGGCTTCACTTGAGTGACATACCCCCTCCCAGCTTCTTCCCTACAGGGTCCTGGGCCTGCCATTCAAGAGGTGAGGCCTATGGGGCGGGTACTAGGGAATGAGGAACCACCCCCATCCCCACCTCCCCGGCCATAGCCCTGGGAGGGTGGGGTCTGCCATGGACAGAGTGTTGATGGCAGTGCCCTGGAGGCAGACTTGTCCCCGAGGAGAGCAGCTCCCTCTTGGCCCACAGACCCCTACCACAGGTAGGAGCTCAGCTGTGCCCATCCAGACTCTGGGCAAAATGTGGTTGGGTCGGAGTTTGCAGTAACTTGTCAATCAATCCTAGGTGGCAGCTGATTGGGGGCACGCATGGCTCTCCCAGAGCAGGTGATTACAGTGACCTTCTCAAACTGGCCATGCTCAGGGAGAGCCTTGAGCCACCAGGGGTTCCACTCTGTTGTCTTTCTGGAAACCCTGTTGAAGGCACAAAATTCTACAGAGGCAGGAGGCTGGGGGAGGGCAGGTTCGGGGCAGAGATTGTGGCTGGTCAGTGTGAGGACCAGGTCAGGGAAGGACTGGGGTTTGATGGGAGGCTGGGAGAGGCAGGGGATGTCTGGAGGCTGCTGGGAACAGGTGTGGACAGCTCACAGTAAAGCAGCAGTCCAAGGCTCTGACATGATGGGCTGGCCTGCGCTCCAGTCCTGAGCTCCAAATGACCTACTGACAAAGGTCAAGAGGGATGGGACTCTGGTGACCCCTTTCTGGTCCCTCCCCAGATTCCTTTGTAAAAAATGGGGACACAGGACAGTGTCAAACTACTCTGATACTGGGAGAGATGTGGGCGCGCCAGGTGCATTCGGTCACATCTGAGGGACAGACATCCAGAGAGGTAGACAGGAGCTTCGTGTCACTGTGTACTGGTACTCAGAACCTGTCTGGTCTTCTGGCCAGGCAAAACCACCTAAGACAAACACCCACACGAATACACACACATATGTATTCACACATGCCACACATAACACACATACATGCTCACACACATGTTCATACTCACACACATATGCATGCACACATGGACACACATGACAACATATATACATATACCCTACATATGCTCCCCCACATATTCAGAGACCTGAATGCATACATATATGTATATACATATGTACATATCATATACATCATATATACAGATATGAACATTTTCTCATATGAACACACTTTCATACATGGATTTCACATGCACATACACATATACATCTGCTGCACTCCCGATACACTCTCAACATACGTATATACATAAATATACACACCACATAGATATACACATACCACATAGGCATACGCACCCTGACCCTGTGACCTTCCCTAACTAACTTGGTCTTGAAAGGTGGTTTATGTCAGGAAGATCTGAGCAGCTCTCTGGGCTGGGGATTTTGGAGGGAAGGTTGGAGGGGCTGCAGCCCACCAAACCCTATGAGGAGCTACCATGGTGGGGTCTGCTCTGACTGACCCAGGAGGCCTTGGGTACAGAACACAGGCTGGCTAGGGTCAGAGAAAGGTGCCCGGAAGGGAGAGGGTAGGCGGGTGTCGCCCCAGCCCGGGATGTGGTTAGGCCATGGGCAGCTTGCTTCCCAAAACCAGAATAGCCCAGAACTTACACAACTCACACCCCTAAACAATCTGGCTGCCTTGCCTGCCTCTCCATAAACTTTTCAGGGTTCCAGGCTCCCTGTCACTCACACCCCAACTCTGAGCCCATGCTATGTCCCCCAAATGTCAGCCAAGACTTCACTGTGTACAGCTTCAATTTCCTGATCTTTCAGCAAGTCTAACCTCTCCCTGACCTACTGACCTCATGAACCTCAATCAAATCCCCTTGATTCATCCCTGACACACTGGGGCAACTCCCCGGTATCCCACCTTTTTCCTTCCCAGGGCCTCTCTGTGACCCCTTCTTTCTAGAATGCCAACAGGGCTAAAAGGGGGAGCAGACACAGGGAGGGGAAGTGATCTAGGAGTGGGACCCCATGGGTAAGCAGCTTCCTGGGGTTCCCGCTCACTTACTCCTAGACCCCACTATCTCCCCCAGGTCCATCTTACCTATCTCTTCCTCTGCTTCTCAAGTGTGACAGGAATGGTTTCACAGTCTCTCGTAGAAGCTTTCCACCTCTCCTGATCCCTATCTGACCTCTCCAGTGTGGGGACTGTGTCTATGGCCCATTCTGAGTTCTTAATGACATTTGCTACCCTCTGTGTCCCAATTACAGATTTCTTCACCAATTACCGCCCCTCTCAGACACCCACATCTTCAAACTTCCTGGAGCCCCCCAGCTTTGGCCCCATGGCTGACTCCCTCTTCAGCGGTGGGACCCTGGCCCCAGAGATGCCATCTCCAGCCTCCTCTTCCTCATCCTCGGGTCTGACCCCTCTCTCAGGGAATACACGCCCACAGGTGAGCTTGCCTTAATCTGCTCTGCCCAGTCTGCCTGGAGCATGTGAGCGCTAGCTCTGGGTCTGCCTGGGCTCAGGAGGTAGAAAGACATTTACTGGGCCATCTAGGCAGAGACCCCAGAAGAATATAGGTAGCAGAGAAAGAAAACCCTACAAAGCAGAATTACATGCACTGAATGAGAGAGAGGGGTAGGGGACAGCAGATGGAAGAAGACACACAGAACAGGGCACAATCCAGAGGAAAGTTTTTTAGTTCTTTTTTGTTTTTGAGACAGGGACTCAAGGCTCTGGATGGCCTTGGATTCATAAACATCAACCTGCCTCTGTCTCCTGAATGCAGCCATTAAAGGCATATACCACCCACACCTGCCTAGTATTCCGAGTCTTGAATGGCAAGCCATGAAAAGGGCAAGCCAGAATGAGCGCATGGAAACGGAATGGGTGTGTGTTTAGACAACTGTGAGTTGGCATCTTGTTTCACTAACTCCTGTACCCGATTCAGAAGTCATTTCCCTGCCACTGTTAAGTGCCTGTTGTAGTTTCATTTCTGTTGTTGTACTAAAATACCCCAAGGAAAAAGCAACTTCGGGGGAGAAAGGGATTTAGGTTAGCTTGCAACCCCAGGTTACAGTCCATCTTTGTGGGGAAGTCAAGGCAGGGACCTCAGCGGTCACACCACGTCTACAGTCAGGAGCAGAGAGAAATGATTGCGTGCATGCTCACCCATTTGACTACTTACATTCAGCTCCATTTCTCTTACACAGTTCAGGATCCTCTGCCTAGGGGATGGTGCCACCAACAGTGGGTGTGTCTTTCCATATCACCTGACTCCTGACAGTCCCCAATAGACATGCCTATAGGCCAACCCAGTGTTGGCAGTTCCTCACTGAGACTCTTCCTATGAGAACTCTTGGCTCTAGGTTGTCATGTTGACAGGTAATCCTAACCACCACAGTGTCTTCCTCCTGTCATTGAACGTTTCAGATGCTTTTGTAGTTGATCTAGAGAGGTCTTTCTCCACCAACAGACAGCTTCTTGCTGGAAGGGTTGTCTTGGTCTCCATCACATTCTTTGTTCCTAGTCGTTTCCCCACACAGAGTGTCATTCAATAAATGGTTGCCCAGTGAGTTACTGACTGACAACACAGAGAGATTTATGCAGCAGTAAATAGAAAGATCACTGTAGGCAATGGTGTGTGCATCTGTGGGTAAGTGAATGTAGAGTAGAGTGGACTGGTTTAGAACTGATGAACTAGTGGGTGGACGGCCCGGCGACGAGCGGCATTGTGAATGGCTGTTTAGCATTGATGAATGAACTGGTGGGTGGACGGCCTGGCGATGAGCGCCATTGTGAATGGCTGTTTAGCATTGATGAATGAACTGGTGGGTGGACGGGTCGGCGATGAGCGGCTTTGTGAATGGATGAGCGATTTGTTACATTATCGGTCGGTGGTGAATGTAGAGATGGTGGATGAGTAGACAGATGAGTATGGATGGGTGGATGGGAAGATAGTGAGTTCGGATGCTTGGACCTCTTGGTAAATGGCTCACCTGACCTGTCAACCGGAGCTGGACTCAGAGTCTTATCACTGAGCCACACCTAGAAAAATAACTCCAGGGAAGGAGTTACTCTGCTCAAGGCTTCAGAGGTTCTAGTCTCCCCTGGGGGAGGAGGTGTAACAGAGCAGAGAAGCTAGGAAGGAAAGATGGAGAGGTTGGGGGTGGGGGTAGTGCCCTTACTAGATGGCTTCCACCTCCCCCCAGTTATTCCATTTGGACCCCCAGACTATGAGCTGAGCATCATGGTATGTCTCCCCCCTTGTTAGTCCCTTCCCCCCTTGCTATGACAAGATACCTGGCTTAAGCAACTTACAGAGAGGTTTCTTTTGGATCATGGTTTGAGGGATACAGTAGAGAAGTCATGAGAGCAGTCCCATGAGGCAGCTGCTCACACTGTGTCTGGGAGCAGAGGGGAGAAGGCTGGTACCCGGCCTGCTTGCTTATTTTCACTTGTTTGCTTATTTTCATGATGATGATGATGGTGGTGGTGGTGTGTGTGTGTGTGTGTGTGTGTACAGGCATGATGTAGAGGTGCATGCATGTCATGGCATGTGTGTGGAGGTCAGAGAACAGCTGGAACGCAGCAGTGTTCTCCTTGCACAATCATACCATGTGGGTCCCAGACACTGAACTCAAGTCAAGGCTTGGTGGTAAATGTTCTACCCACTGAGCCACCTTACCAGCCCCCATACTTATATTTTTAAAATTTATTTTGTGTGTGTTCACATATGTGTGTATGCGGGTACCCATGTGGAGGTCAGAGAATAACCTTCAGGAGTTGGTTCTTTCCTTTCCCCGACGTGAGTTCCTGTGATCAAACTCAACCCATCAAGCTTGGCGGCAAGAGCTTTAAGTTTCTGAGCCACCATCCTGGCCCACTTTTTATTCAGTCTGGGATCCCACCCCCATGGAATGGTTCTGCCCACACCCAGGGTGAGTCTTTTCCCAGTTAACCCTCTCTGGAAACACTGTCAGAGACACACCCAAGAGGTGTGTTTCACTAATGCCCATTTCTTAACTGAATCATGTTAACAATGGAAATGCCCTCAAAGAAACACCAGTGTACCTCACCCAGCTCCTAGACATGTCTCAGTCCTATCAAGTTGACAATCCAGATTAACCATCCCAGCCGGGATTGAAATAGAGAGTTGGGTGAGTTCATAGATGAGAGAATAAGTTGGTAAATGAGTGCAGAAGATGATGAATGGACAGGTGCATGGATGGATGGATGGATGCATGGATGCATGGATGCATGGATGCATGGATGCATGGATAGATGGATGGATGCATG